CTTCCCAGAAACCACTTCCCAGAAACCACTTCCCAGAAACCACTTCCTAGCCTCCGGAGACCATTTCACCCGCGTTCCGAAACGAGCCGAATCCGGGTTCCGAAACGAGCTGAATTCGCGTTCCAAAACGAGGCGTCGGCCCCTAGAAACAACTCTCATCATCTCCTATACCACAAAACAGCGCCTGTTTCCACACGGTGAGGACTATGACTATATGTGATACGTCACCTTTTCCTGAAGGGAACAGACCGAACAAACGCAAACCTTAATGGCTTAATTACTTCAAACACCACCTACTTGGCAGTGGGTCATGGCACCCAGGCACCTGCTTTGACCCCGGATGAACGTCAACCTCTCATGGTGTTCGGTGCCACGACTCCCAGCCACTTGAAGTGGTATCGAAACTGATACACTTCAAGTGGCATACCTCGTACCCGGGAAAAAAGGCTCCCCAAAGCCTGGGCTGGCTGAGGACAAGCATGCTCTTTGATCACCTTCGCGCGCCGGAAAATTGATGAGATGATCATAGAACCTGAATCACCTCTATTTCGGACCACCAACCACTAAAAATATGTTATCCTTTCCTATTAAAGCAGGGGCCAAATGGGTTCCAGGCATGTAGATTCCTGTACACACATCACATGGAAGTGGATGGCGCACTTCCATGTTTGTCAGTCGGAGGGTAGTTGTTCGGGTGCGCTCACGCCCGCAGATTGGAAGATTGGAAGATTGGAAACCCTGACAACTTCTTACCCACAAACCACCCGTCAGTCGCACCACACACTGTAACACTTCTTGGAAATTTAAACTTTCAACTCATCGACCTCAAACGCAAGTTTCCATTGCAACATGTCCTTGGAGCAGCGAGATTTGCCTCATTTTCACCTGCTCATATAGTCATCCTGGTGTGGGTAGAAGACATCCAAAAACATAAAAACCTGCAACTGGGCATGTTTTTGGATTGGTTTTTCATCTACCCTGGAGGATTGTCATGGATATCCACCATTATCCAGAACCACCATGTAGACTCTAGACCTGCCGAGCAACTCGTAGACCCGCCAGAGTCCCAGCTTTCTTCCACAGAGTCACAGTTCTCTTCCACGTGGAACAAAAAGTTGCGGAGTACCGGACCAGTGGTTTTGTACCCAAACACTCCATGGGATTGGAATATTTACACCCTGAAACCAACCACCCCAACGTAGGTATATATGCCAGTCCCATTGGTTGTGATCCGCTCCAATATGTGCTTAATTGTATATATGTAATATTTATCTATGAATTCACATACAAATGTCTTTTTGATCCGCTCCAAAAGACATCCACAACCATCTGGGCCCAATAACAGGCCACCTTGAGATCTTTTGCTCCAAAATTTGGGTTTGAACAACTCCTTTAACCTTTGCTCAAATCGAAAACGGTCAATAGAACAGCTCTCAAATTTAGAGCTTGAGATTTTTCCACTGGCTGAAATTACGGCCAACGCAGGGATTGGCTCAAATGATGCTTGGCGACCAAGTCATGAAAGGCCACAGGTGCCCGCAGCCTTGCTGCAACTCCACAGCTGAAGAAACACTGTAGCATAATCCCACCAAAACAGCTAAATGGCAAATTGTAGAGCAGTTTCTTACGATCTCCATCGATCTTGTGTTTGCGCTTTGTTACCATCTTGTTGTAACTTGCAGTCACTTGGCCAGAAGATCCCGAAGAGTAGTCCGCCCACCAGATTTTGCAGCTTCCCGGTGCTCAATATCGATAGCAAATGATACGTACTGCTGTTAGATAGAGAGCCACCGGCAGGCACCCTGACAACAGGCAACACGTGTCAAACGCACTGCTTCATGACATACGCCATGAGGCCTAAATAATTACGAACACCGTGCCCTTGATAGCTTGCAACTTGCAACCCATGACAGGCGCTGCCCGCGGTGACTTCACAATCCAAGACATGACCTATGCAGATGAGCCGCGATTGAAACCCAGATTTTCCAACGATTTCCCATGATTGAGTGTTCCCTGACGCGCGTTTCCAGAGGACGAAGAACTGGCAGTTGAAAAGGACCGGGCTATGGCGCATTTGGTGAGGTTTCCAAAGCCTCTTGATAAGCTTTGGCCTGGATGGTTTTCAGGTCGTGTAGTTGAGCTTTGCGCGTTGCTGCCTTCAACTCCTTTTCCCTCGCCTCCTCTGTGCTTCTTTTCTTGACCCTGGTCTGCTGGAACCAGGACCATGCTTTGTCTGCTGGAGCCAGGACCATGCTTTGTCTTGGTCTTCATGAGTCAAGGTCTGAAAGACATGGTCTCCTTTATTTTCTACGATGATGCATGAAATTTGCCTTTGCATACCTATTCACACTGATTGATGTTGCCAAAAGTTGTTGGCATTGTGAGAATGGGGTTCTCAGCTTAGCGCCTTGCTTATCCAAACCGAAGGCCGCCATGTTACAATTAGGTTCTCGGCGTAGCCCCTTGCTATAACCAGTTCAACATGCTACACTTTTGGTCCTTGGGGTTCTCAGCTTAGCCCCTTGCTATAACCAATTCAACACGCTGGATGAATTAACCTTGGGGTTCTCATCTCAGCCCTTTGCTATCCAAGTTCAAAGCAACCGTGTGACAATGGGGTTCTCAGCTTAGCCCCTTGCTATGCCCAAAGCTCAAAGCGCATCTTAGCCCCTTGCTATTTACTGCCCTTGCTCTGTTGCCCTTTATAGTTGTTCATCTTCTCTTTTCCTTGTCTCTTTTCTTTTATCCTTGTTCCTTTTCTCTTATCTCCTTTTTTTTACTGGTTCCAATTTTGACGCTTGGGGTGTAGGGTTCAATGTACAGTCATATCAACTGAACATTGTTCTTCTATCGTTGCTTTTCGAACAAGAATTCAATTAGGATTTCAGTTAGAAAAAGAGAAGTCAAGATATTTAGAAAGAGAGAAACGATAAGTTGTTCAAGATAATATATATATATTTCAATGAAAAAGTATTTAAACAAAACAAACAATTTCATTAAAAACACATACACTTCTTGAAAAGAATTAGACATATCATATCATATCATATCATATCTCATATATTAACGCCGAGCGCGCGCACACACTTATTATGGAAATGCGCTCGGACTAGGATGCGGTTGCCACACGCCAGCCTTCGTGAAAAACCTAAGAAACCAGGGGGAGTATGTGTCAAGCGAACGACCGGGAAAACTGCATGAAAACTGCAAAGACCTCCAAAGCTCACGAAAGATCCGACATAACTCGCCGATGCGCTAGCCCTTTACTGCAGCAAGACTGAATGTGGAAACAACGTATCGGACAGCTTTTGCGTCCCGAGTTGATCCTATCTCTGCTCCAGGTGCCCCCTGCTGCTAAACATTCAATGAATCCCTGTCATTCCAAGGGGTACACACAGGCCTCCCGATTAGGGAGGCGAGAAAAAACTAAGGTTACGACAAGTGTGCATGTGCGCGCAAAAAAGACACACAAATGACGACATGCAAGGAAGAAAAGACAGACCAGATGTATGTGGTTGCAGTGAAGCGGAAACAAGTGACCAGGCACAACCGATGAACCCAACTTCCTTGTAACAGCCTGTGCGACCTGAGACCTGGGTTTAAAGTGTAAGTGCGCGTACACATTAAGGGCTGGACCAATATGTGCGCAAAAGACAAAAAGGATGAGGTGCCAAGACATGAAGACAGAAAGACATGAAACAAAAGAAGGAAAAAAGAGTGTGTGAACAGGAAAGGATGAAACGGAAGCCCGACCTCACTAGTGTGTGCACATGGGGCCACGTACGCCGTGCCAAAATGGCTGGCTGCTCAGACCGCTATGGTCACCTCCTGGCTTGTCCGAGGACTGCCTACTAGATTTCAATACTAGTTCAGCAATTCTTGGCAAGTAACTTTGGCTTAATAAAGCCACCTACGCTCGCTGCGAGCTGCTCTGTATCCAGGCAGGGGATACGTTGGAAAAAAACCCGATCGACAGGTCCACAGGGGCTTTCCCCTTAGAATCCTACGTGCAACATGTCGACACCTAAGTTGCGGTCAGATTTCCACACCTGAAAGCCTTATAAGTATATACTATAAATTTAGACGGGTGTGGAAATCTGACCGTGCTGTACCACCAGGCAAAATGGACGTGTCAATCCGAGCCACTGTAGACCGCAAGTGTCATGTTGGAATAGAATAAGAAACGTAAACTTTAGGTTCTTGAAGTATGGGGAAAATGCATTTCTACAGCCAATAGGCCAGCGTCTCTTCTCCCGACATATCTTTAGAACAAAACACTGCCATTCTTCACACCTGTCGCTTCTCGCAGTGCTCATGCACTGAACCCTAGGCCCTAGGCAAAGCCTGCTTATTCACGCGCTGCGCCTCACGGCCACCCGCTGTTTGATGTTTGATGAGCTGACACGCGAACCACAAAATAACAGGACTAGATGCATCGCCCAAGATCTTGTCAGTCCGCGCTACTTCATCCGAAGTTCGTGAAGACATTGTCACGGCACGGCACGCCACCCGCTGTCAAACTTGGAAGAGGTGGACAACGATGAGTTACCCCACTAAGAGTAACAGGTGAAATCTCACACTTTGAACGCGTTTGAGCGATGTAGTGACTCACTTCAGAAGTTTGTTCAGCTAGGGCGTGAAGCCTTCATGATTTTTACCTCATTGTCCTCCGTTGACTGATCATGCAGCATGTCCTCCTCTGTAACACAGCTTGCCTTTGGCCTTGCTGAAATCCGCGATTCCACCCTCATAGCTGGTTCCAAAGCCTTGCGTGGCCCAATATACGTGGCTCAATACTATCAGGCCCCGGCGGACAAGGAAAGCGTTCAAGTGCTTTTCCGATTGATGCTTCTCACGTCTTCAAGCCCCAGGCCCCTTTGCTGCAGGATGGCTCGCCTAGAGTCGACAATGGTAATTCAAAGCGTACTCGGGCAGGCGGGTACGTGCACCTTCGGTCTAGATTTTTGTTTCTCAGTAGACAGGACTTGGCCGCAGGCACATTCGCGAGGCCATCTGTGATTCGAAGCGTAGACAGGAAGGCAGTCGGCCATCAAGTTGCACGACGCCTCTGACCGAACAACAGGGTTGAAAAGCCGAAGGCCGTAAAGTTTGGGCAGCCAGGCTGCAGCGGTCTGTGTTTATAATTGTTTGGACATCAGCCCAGCCGGGGTGAAATACCTTGTCAAAGCAGGCTTGATGCAATCAGTGATTTGGCCAGGCTGCCTCATCTTTTGCCTATAGGCCTGACGACTATGAAAGTTCAATACAGCATCTCCCGTGCTCGTTTGTTGCTCGATTCTTGGTCTGCGCGGTGAGACTGCCAAATGAACATCAGCGCCCTCAAGGCCGCCCTCGTCGCAAAGGTGAGAAACATCCTAACGAATAATAGCGCTGGCGCGCGATGGAGGACCGCAAGCCTCCAAACGGAGCAAAGCTCCCCTACAGTCCTAGTGGTCGAACATCCGATCTCGATAGATCTTTGCGGCCTTTCTTTTGAGTTTTTCTTCTTTTGAACAAATTCTTTGTGTTCTCTGGGGGCACTAGCCTCTCTCACGAAACGAAGGGAAAGAGAAGAGAAGAAAGAGAAGAGAAGAAAAGAGCAAAAAACAGGAAAGACAAGATATGACATGAAAAATGAAAACAGAAAAGAACTGATAGGAAAAGAACAAATAATAAAGAGGAAAGAAAAAGCAAGAAAAGAGAAGATAACCAAAAACAAAAAGACAAAAATAATAGACAAGAAAATAAAAGAAAGCAAATATTAACAATAAAGTAGATTAAAGAAAACAACATAACACTGAACATTTTCTCAACGAGCTTCCCGCTTCCCTCCTTCTTGATATTCAATTTTGTTTCTCATTCCCCTTGGCGACCGGGAAGAACTTCCCGGTGTGATCGCTGTAGATACGCGACCAACGGTTCGATCCTTTTTTTTGAGTGCGATCCTACTATATTTTGCCCAAGTCAAACAAAAGGCCACCAAGGTTCCAAAATTATTTCCCCATGATATGTGATATGAACTGATCATGATCAAATCAGAAAAATCATGACAAAGGTATTCATATTCCCGGTTCCCCGTTGCCAATTCCCACAAACCCCTGGTGACCGTCCTGCCCGGTAAAACCCCACCGGTCCCTCCGACACGATGCCCAAGGCGCGGCCAGGTGCGAAGGACAAAGCACCAAGGCGTCCAGCTTCGAGAGCGCCGTGGCCACGCTCTGCGGTCGTTTTGCGGTCGTTCGACGACGATGACGTTCCGTGCAACGAAGTGCCGGCGGGTGTGGGACTGGTGCACCAGAATCCAGATGAATCGAGATGAATGAAGACATCAAATGCGTCAACTCACGAGGGCATGACCGGTCACGAGTCATGAGGACAACACAATATTCGCTAGGGCTCCTGGCCCACCTCCTGAGAAGGTGGTTGTGGTGGGTGCCAGGGGGGTCTAACCACCGAACCTGAGGAGATGGTTGGAGCCCTAGCGAATTCATACCAATATATGGATGCCAGGAAGAATGCACATCATGTCTTGTTTGTCCACATCATGCATCAATGCATCATTGTCGGAAAATCAGGGGATGCTTGCTTGCAAAAGTCCCACGACTTTACGTGGTTTTGTTGCACAACCACATGGCCCCAAACCTGTGAGGACTTTGATGGATAATGATAATGATAACCTTCCGACAGCCAGTACTCACTAGTCGTTGCTTCTCGGGGTTACATGAGCAATCCCCAGACTCCAGGCGCATGTACTCCCCAGAACTAGCTTGCGATCGAACGTAGGTCGGAACTCGCAGAGTTGCCAAAAAATAAAGCTTCCCAGAGTCGTCTTAAGGCAACTTTCAACAGATTGCTTGACTGGATTGGCACCGTGAAAAAATAACACCTGCATGGAAAAAACTCACACCTAGGACCTAGAAGACCACTTTTGGAAGATGCCTTGTTGACGCAATCCCCGAAAACGTCGAAGACCGCATCCTTTTGCACAGCCCCATCGTGTGTTTTCCAAAAGTGTCTGGGATAATATGTTGTCTGGGCATGTCTGGGTGTCCTGGCACTAAGTACCCACACTCTACGACCCGGGATCTCCAGCCAGAAATCAGCCAGGACACCCAGACCAGGATGATACAGAGTCTATAGCGGGTATCAAGGGGATTGGACCGGCACGCCGCCGTGCCCGCAATTTGCGTCTCCTGTGCAGAAGGCAGGTTCCGGAGGGCCGCTTCCTGGCAGGTGAACCAAGGGCGGCGCGCCACGTTCCACGGCTGGAGGGGCGGAGCTCAACGACTTGGGAAAGTTCGGGAAAACCATGGGGCGCCCCGAACTGGCCAATGATTTCCCAGCGGCGACTGCATCACCTGCATCCAAACAGATTCGTTGAAAGAAGTCACGCGAATGTCAAAATCACATTGATTTGGTTCTGGTTCAAACGGAAGTGGTTCTGAGTGGGACTGAGTGGTTCTGGAACCGGCACTACGGCTATGCCTCGTCATCTCACATATCCATAGACAGTTACTTACCATGTTTGCCTCCGCTGCCTCAAGGAACGGGCAGAATTGTTCAAGAAGTGTCGCTCACCCAACTCGCAATCGCCCGAGCGTTGACCGAGCACGTTGACCGAGCGTTTCGCCCAAGAAACATCGAAGTGAGTGGATGTGACAAGGGCCACCTAACCTCCTTCCTCCGGAGGAAAGAGGTTATAGGCACCCACCCCATCACGTGAAAGGTCGTCACGTGGCTGGACTACCAAGACCCCTCTACCTCTGAGGAACGTGATTTCTTGATTTTTAAGAGGCATGGCCTCAGTCCCACTCAGAACCACTTCCGTTTGAACCAGAACCGAGGCATAGCCGTAGTGCCGGTTCCAGGCACGCCGACACATTGGTTTCGTGCTTTCGAGGTTTGGTTTCACAAGATTTTGCCGGTGGAAAAAATAACAAGCATATCATATATATCCCAATACCAGGGTGGGAGTCTAGGGAGCCATTTTCTAGCTACACTAGCTATAAAACGGTGTGCATACATACAAACAGAGTTCTAAGTTAGCCACTGACTTGCTAATTCGGTCCTTCTTCCCTGAAACCCTTTTTGGAACCCATGGAACTTCACGTTTTCTGCACCACATTCGCTTCGAACATCCTCTCCTTCCCCACAAGATGCGCGTTTGTTTTTAAGCGACTCGGGTCCTTGCCAACGATCAAGTTGGGATCTGTGATGATCCGGATCGCCTTCAGCGTCGCCGTGTTCAATGGTTTTTTTAGCTCGTCAGCCCCATGGGGGGGCAGCTAGGGGGTCTCAACCAAGCATGCGTCATGGGCTGAGCAACTCGGCGTCATGGGCTGAAACACGATTGTTTGTTCTGTCTTCTTCGGGTCTTCGGGCAAAACTCAACAACAACTCTAGGCTCCCTATATGTCACATGCACAATCTGACCCCAGCATGAATCCGGACTTGAGCATCCGGACTTGAGCATTCTATTGGAAAATCAGTGAGTCCCTGTACTATAATACCCAGACACTCCATGGGACTGCCATATATGCGTATCAATTGACCCCTCGAACCCACCACCCAAATGTATATAGGTCAATATGCCAGTCCCAGAAAGGTCGTGTTTGGGTTTCTCTCGGTGCGTGTGTCTCTTTCGGCTCATCCACATGCTCTGGAGCCTCGCCTTCAGCGTCTCCTTCTCTTTTTTGGCCGTGGTCTTTTCCTGCCCGCGCGAGCGGCAAAAAGTGCGGAACGTTCCTTTTTACGTACAAAGTAAAAGTGGACGATGGCCAGTTGGATGTCCATTTTCCTCTACAAACAAGTGGTGAACTCCACTTCCATGTTAGTGATTAGAAGTGTATACCGTATAGTGTATACCGTATACCGTATACCCGTATAATTTTAATTCTAATAGCTTTTTGTTACTAGTAGTAAGGCACTTGTTACTACTAGCGTGGCACTTGTTACTAGTCGTATACCCGTATACCTCATAGGGTTTTTACATGTTTTTACATGCCTGAGAACGGCCCCTCGAACCTGTCCCAAACATTCCCTGAGTACCTTCCTGCCAGAAAAAAAACACACACTTCAAACGAAACCACGTCACCCTGCCAGTGTAGTCAGAAGCCCAGTCTTTTACAAGCACGGGCTTGAATGGTGGTTTCTCTGCAGGTTCGGGGTGAAATCTCATCTTCTTTGGGGCTTCAACCAATCGCATCTTGCTCCCGTTGTACACAATCTAGTGGTGGAATATGACAATCAAAACAGGAGCAAGTGGTTGTTCTTATCTAAAAATGATTGGGCTTGGACAGTCTTCACAACGAAATGTTGTTTGGTGGTCATTCATTGCAACACAACACTTGGGCAGGACATCGGTTTGCACTTTACAGAACTATGTAAAACAGTTGCGGTGAAGGCCAAGGTTGAACAAATCGGCATAGCTCATGGCTGTTGAGCTGTGGCACTGTGGTGCATCAACAGACTTCATCTGTGCCCCTGTGCAGGACGGTTGTGATGATCAAAGGGCATGGCATTTGTAAGCCCACAGAACGGAAACCATGCATGAGTTTCGTTTAGATTCTCAAATTTGCCAAGCAAACTCTCAGAAGACGGACTTGCAATCCAAGATAAACTCAAGTTCCTTCCACATAAAGCCGGCAAGTGCGCGTGAGAGACAAGAGGATATAGATGAGGAACCGTTAGCAAAGATGAGAGAAACGAGGAGAATTAACGGTGGCAGCCATTAGCGAAACTGAGAGAAAACAGGAGAATGAAGAAGGCGGGTGATTGGCAAAAATGAGAGAAAACCAGAAATGGAGGAATACAGCAGAATGATGGGGGAGACCAGCCAAGAGGGCGAGAAAACAGAATAATTTTCAGACGGCAGGAGCCAAGGATCGTCGGTCTTTCTGGGGAGAACAATGCCATCCACTTCAACTTCCATCCCTAGGGATCCAGACGTCGTACCGAACCTCAGGTTCGGTACGACTGGGCCCTCGAAACCTACATAAGATTGTCGAACACATCACCGTACCTGAGAAGGTACGACTGGATCCCTAGGGCAAGAACATCTTCCACTTGATACAGTATCATCTTCCTCCGCCGCACTGAAAGAAACACCGGATGCTCCTTCTGTATGATGCATCCAACATCCTTGGATTTCCAAGCTTTTCCCCCAAAGCTTGGTTCCCCCAGATGGTCCCATCTCTGTGTTTTCAACCCCCAGAACATGGTCTGGGACTGTATTCCCAGGGACCACCCCATGGATCGCCATTTCAAGCACCACCCCGTCTGGTAGACGACCCCAAACACGAGCTGTCTGGGACTACCAGGACGGACTGCCGTTTCGTGGCACGGCCGACGGGGTGGTGGTGCCAGGGGGGTCTGGCTGGGGCGGCAGTCCGTCCTGGCAGTCCCAGACAGCTCGTGTTTGGGTGACATAGTTCAGTCCCATAGAGTTTAACTATTCCAGTCCCGCCCTTTTCGACCTATGAAGTGTTTACTAAAAAAAACCAATGCCTCCGCAACAAAAAGCTTAAAGGTTACCCATACTATCCCATACTCCATGTCCGGCATATTCACCTACATTCACCCTTGAAATCAACCATCACAAGTATATATGCAACACGATTGCAGTCCCCTGGAGTGTTTAGGATCCATATGACTGACTCCTGTGCCTTTTTTTCGTTGGACAATAGAGGTTAACCAAACTTTTCACCTGTTCTATGTGAAACGTGGGGTGTTCCCAATTACAAAAAACACCGTTCTCATTCAGTTATCCACTTTTCCCGGGGTCTAGGTGTGGGGCCCCGAGACACCGTGGTCTACTCCGTCCGTGGAGTCCCACGAGCGCCACGCGAGAGCCTCGGCGGGGTGGGACGTGGAGCCGCGGCCGAAGCGGTTCTCGATGACGTGGATCTGCAGCTGGATCTCCTCCTCCCCTGGCGCGGCCGGAGGACAGCGGGACGTGAAGGAGTTCGGAAGAAACCGGATTCATTGATGGACCATTTGCGGACCATAGAAGTGCTTCATGGGGAGAGCTGTAGTACCGGCCCAAGGGCCCAAGTGTTGGGGTTCTGGAAAAGCTCCAGCTTGGTGGGGCGCGGACTCTTTTCGGCTGAGCAGGTTTCGGCTTTCATAGGGAAGGACAAGGGAAAGTGATAGGGATACACTGGATACACTCCCTGGAATCATGGAAGTGGAAAAGCATCTGTGTGTAGAGGATTGTGGTGATTCAGGAGCCATTGTCCAATTCGATTATTCCGGCAAGTGCATGGCACTGAAGGATGTTGGACACGTATATGGAGATTCTGGAGATCTGCGAAGAAGGTGTTTGGGGTGTCTGCAATGCCTGGAATTTTCAGTCCGGAGGTAGACCATAGGGATCTGCTCAATTGCAAGAACCCTTCCCGGAAAAATAGGGTCGCTATCGGGATCCTATTCAAATCTTGCTTTTTCCAAAGAACTCTTTCCTTCAACAGTGGGAGCAGCTGGCCCTTGACGTGTTCTTGCCCCTCGCCGCTTCGAAGTAGACGGCCTGGTAGGTCCCAGATGGTTTCACCCTCCTTGAGGTGCTTCCCCAGCAAGAACCGGGTCCACCAAAGCCTGAAGCAAGGAACTTAGGCCATTAAAAATATCCGGGTGGAACTCCAACAAGTTGGACTTCCATAAGGAAGAACAAGTTGGACATTTCTGGAGAAGAACACGGTCAAAGGCAAACACTCGGAAGATGTTGGAAGGCTTGTTCAAACCAAATGGCCCCCCCACCCCAAAAACTGCCACCAGATCAGAGTATGGGAAGTGACACCCAACATGAAGCTTGGATTTGCCCGGCAAAAGATCACAAGTTCCAACTGAAGTTTGACCCGCCCGATGGCTGGAACTAAGCCGTTCATCCAGCAGTTCCATGCTGGGGGTGCTATCCAATCCATGGAACGTCGGGGTGCCCGAGGTCACCTCCACAACCCCTGGATGGAGCCGACGAGCCCCCCCCCCGACTGGAAGGAACTCGGGATGAGACGATGAGAGGGATGGGACCGGGGATGGAGTGCGGCGCACCCAAGAAACCAACTCCAGCCCCTAAGGAAACAGTCGTACCTTCTCAGAAGGTGATGTGTTCGACACTCTTATGTAGGTCCCACGAGGGTCCAGTCGTACCGAACCTGAGCTTCGGTACGACTGGATCCCTAGGGAGCTGTAGGATTTTCTGTCCAATTTGCCGGGAAAATCACACCGATTGCTGAGAAGGGGATTCATCGCGAGTCATCCATCTCGGGAGTCATCCATTTCATCGCCCGAAACAAATCCTCTTTCGTGGGATGTCCCCGATTCCCCCAAAACGGTTAGAGGTTATCCACTTGGGTAGTAAGTCCTAACATGTCCGAACCCTAATTATGGGAAGAATCGACATCGCAAAGAAATCACTGGACAGAGCTGCACCCTCGTGACCAGGTGTAAACCTAAGGCCATCTTTCTGCTTGGGATGCAACGGATTGGACACGTATGGTATAGTCTCATAAGCAGGACTGGAGAATTTGCTGATTGATATATCAGGCAGGTTAGGTCATGTCTTGCCTCATGCCACTGGTGAGTGCGAGGAATGAATTGTACTGAAATCCTCAAAAGGAATACGTGCAAACCACCTATCAATCCTGTCCTAATTAAAGAGTTCCAACCCCACATCAAATCTGAAGAGAGCAGCTGCTTCATGTTCTGCGATGGCTTGATCTTCGGCTTCCTTAACTTCAGCTCCTCCTTGGCTCAACAAACCGTTTTTCCAAGGATTTGCTTAAGGAACCTGGAACAAACTGAAACCTGTTCCCCAGGTGTGGGGATTGAACCATAGCTGTTAGCTAAAACTGGGAAAAACAACAAATCACCCGATGCGCCGGTCACCAGGTTTTCGGGGTCTGGTCACCCCCGCAAGGGCATGGCGTGGTCCAAACTCCCAAGCACAAGGAGAACTGACTCCTCTGCCGTTTGGGAAAATCACGTGGGAACCGTACTGTTCCGCCATGTTCCACCTGTTTTTTGTCCAGCTGTTTTGTTGAGTGGGGAAACCGATTCCACAGAAAGTTATACAGGTTATCCACTTGTCCTGGCTAGGTGGCTGCACCCCACCTACCAAAAACACAGTATTGACAAGCAAGGTTGATGCTTGATCGGAGGTCATCCACCACAAAAATGTGGGGTGCCTGTTTTGAGTCACAAAAACGTCGGCAAGGGATCTGGCAAAGGTCAAACGGAAGGTGGACATGTCCTTCCTTTGTCAACATGGAGTGGGCGCTTCCACCTTCTCTAGCAGGCACCCGGGTCCCGGTTCGCCTTCAAAGACCATACAAATCAATGGTTGTGTGGTTTTCAGGCCATCAGAATCAACTGTGGCAGAATCCTAAGGGCAGATGTAACTAGACACCGACTCAAATGGACTCATGGGTTTTAAGGTTTCAGCGGCACCCGATTTTGAGCATCATTCAGTCACACCAGCAGTTACGAAGGGGGTGCCTGTTGGACTATTGGAGGATAGGTGTGCCCACTCACTTAGCAACTATAAACTATAAAACACTATTCCTTTGGAACTGTTGATGGTTGTACGGATTTGGACGCCCCCCCCACCTTCTTTCTGGACAAGGTGCCTTTCCCTTGCCTTTGCCTTTTCCCTTGCCAGCAGGCCCTTTGCCTTTGGCAGGCCCCTTCCCCACTTTGCCAGCCTCAGGTTCAGGAGGAGTACTGCTGTCAATACCTTTGCTGGGCGGCGGGGGGGCCTTTGCTCTTGCCCTTTGCTGGACCTTTTCCAGCTGGCAGGGCAGGACTGGTGGTAGGCGAATCGTCGGCAGCCTTCCCTGCTTCCTCTGTGGCTGATGTTCCACTTTTGCTGGGTGGCGGGGGGCCTTTGCTCTTGCCCTTTGCTGGACCTTTGCCAGTCGGGCTGCTGGGGCCAGCGTTAACATCTTCTGCAGCTCCTGCTTCTGCTGTAGCTGCTTCTCCTCCACCTTCTGTAGCGACTTGTCCACCTGTGGGTGGCCGGGGGCCTTTGTTCTTGCCCTTCGCTGGACCTTTGCCAGCCGGGCTTCTGGGGCCAGCGTTAACATCTTCTGCAGCTCCTCCTTCTGCTGTAGCTGCTTCTCCTCCAGCTTCTGTGGCGACTTGTCCACCTTTGGGTGGCGCGGGGCCTTTGCTCTTGCCCTTCGCTGGACCTTTGCCAGCCGGGCTTCTGGGGCCAGCGTTAACATCTTCTGCAGCTCCTGCTTCTGCTGTAGCTGCTTCTCCTCCACCTTCTGTGGCGACTTGTCCACCTGTGGGTGGCGGGGGGCCTTTGCTCTTGCCCTTCGCTGGACCTTTGCCAGCCGGGCTGCTGGGGCCAGCATTAACATCTTCTGCAGCTCCTCCTTCTGCTGTAGCTGCTTCTCCTCCAGCTTCTGTGGCGACTTGTCCACCTTTGGGTGGCGGGGGGCCTTTGCTCTTGCCCTTTGCTGGACCTTTGCCAGTCGGGCTTCTGGGGCCAGCATTAACATCTTCTGCAGCTCCTCCTTCTGCTGTAGCTGCTTCTCCTCC